AGGCATCCCCCCACCATGCTGATCCCATTCTGTGTCTAATCATCTGACCACTGCCTGCCCACCTGTCCACTAGTCCATTGGTCTGGGTGCTGACACCTCACCTGGCTTTGGCAAGCCTCTGCCCTTGGGAGGAGATGCAGGCTCCATGCTTATCTTCAGATGCTGGTTCTATAGGTCATCCAGGTCAGTTGACCTCCTGGACTTGGAATATCCTGTGACCTAGAGATAAGTTGACTAGATCCATCCGGAATGAGGATCAACCCAGATTAGAAAAGACTCACCTGAATCTTTTTAAACGTTGAGATTTAGACAACTTTTTCTCTTTTCTTCTTCCCTCCTCATGAAATTCTTGGCCTTATTCCTTCCCGGTTGCTTCCTTACCCTAGCCCCAACCAAGGGAGATCCTAGACTACCCATAGAGGCTAAACATATGAGTCAAAGGGTCAAACAAGCTTGAGTTCGAAGCCTGGCTCTGCCACTTATTGCTCTGTGGCCTTGGATAAATTAATCTCTCTTTTCATGCTTCCAGGCTTCCAGAGATGATGTACCCAAAGTATGATCATCATATTTATTAAAATATTGTGCTCACATCTGATTAACAGCTCCTGGCAAGAGGTCAGTGCCAAAGAGTCTTGGACTGACTGCTTATGGCCTGGCCTCCCTATCTTCTTATTATGTAGCGATCCAGGTGAATTCAGATGATTCCCTGGACTACCACCCTCCTTCCTGAGACACAACCATCCCTCAAACACTGTTCATCACTGACCATCAAAGCAGCAGCCACACTGCTCCAGCAGCTCAACAGCTATTTATTGAGACAGGTGTGTGAGTACATGAGTGAGTGAATGAACTGAAAGAACATAAGAGTGAATTAATTGGTAAGTGAATGAGTGAATTAGTGACTTAATGAATCAGCAAGTGAGTGAAGAGTGTGCAGGATTGAATATATCATGTTCTCCTCCCTCAGCAAATCGAATATGCGGTGATGTAAAACTTTCACCTTAAAATGTGTCTTCTGCATTAACACAAGCAGGGGTTAAGATTGGCAGAGGAGAAGTTACAGACAAGAAGCTGGAGGAGAAAGATACTGTGCTAGTTTCCTATTGCTGCCTTAACAAATAATGGCACATTTAGGGGCTTAAAGAACACAAATGTATTGTGTTATAATTCTGGAGGTCAGAAGTCCAAAATGGGTTTCAGCAGGCCAAGATCAAGGTGTGGGGAGGGCTGAGCCCCTCTGGTGGCACCAGGGGAGAATCCTTTTGCTTGCCTTTTCTAGCTGCTAGTAGCCACCTGCATTTCTTGGCTTGTGGCCTCTTTCCCTTGTTTTCAATACTAGCAGTGTAGCATATTCAAATCTCTCTCCACGTCTGATCCTCTGCTTCTCTCATCACATCTCCTCTGACTGTGACTCTCCTGCCTTCCTCTTACAAAGGCCATGTGATTCTATCAGGCCCACCTGGATAATCCAGGATCATCTCCCTATCTCTAAATCCTTAGAGTAATCTTAGCTACAAAGTCCCTTTTGCCAAGTAAGGAACAAATTCACAGGTTTCAGGGCTTAGGACGCCAGCATCTTTGGAGAGGCATTCTTCTGCCACTTGCAGATGCCTTGCTCAGAGGGTCAATGCAACCAGTGAGTCCCACTCCACAGAGGAAGGGGCAGGAGGGGGATGAAGGAAGTTTCAAAGCATTTGACAAACACATGCCTATGCCAGGTATTTTTGCTATTGTTGCTGTGGCCTGAGTACGGAGGGCTTTGAAAAGCTTACGTGATTCCATCATGCTCCAAAATTTGAGAGATACTTTGACAGAGATATGCTAAGACCATATGCTGCTGTAATTGAGGGTAAAATCTGGCCCTGTGATTCCTGGAGGTGATGGATCAAGAGCAGGGTGTCTTTACCCTGGGTGCACATTGCTATCAACAGGGAAGATTTTTTTTTTTTCAAAAAATGTTATTTTGAAATAAGAAACGAGTGCAAAGATCGTACAGAAATTCCTGTATATCCTTCACCCAGATTCCCTAATGTTGGCATCTCACATAACCCTGGGACATGCGTAAAAACTAAGAAATCAGCAATGGTACAGTACTATTAACTAAATGAAACATTTTATTCAGATCTTCCCAGATTTCCACCAGTGCCCCACTTTTTTTTCTGTCCCAGGGTTCAGTCTAGCATCTCTTATTGCATTTGTCCTGTCTTCTTGGTTTCTTCCAATCTGCATTAGTTTCTTAGTCTTGCCTTGGTTTTTTTAAGATCTTGACATTATTGAAGGGTACTGATCAGGTGTTTGGTAGAATGTTCTTTATTTCAGTTTGTCTAATGGTTTTTCATAGACCTTGGCTATGGATTTTTGGGAAGAATATCATGGGGGTGAGACGCTCTTATTATGGCATCACAGAAGGGGGTTCTGTGATCTCAGCATGACCCGTTACTGATGATGCTTACTTTGATCACTTGGTTAAAGTGGTGTCTGCCAGATTTCCCCACTGTTAAGTTACTGTTTGTCCTTTTCCATGTTCTATTCAATAGGAGTGGGTGGCTAAGTCTAGCCCACACTGTAGGAGATGGGGAGTGCCAGCTGTTTTTATTCCTATCATTTCAATTTGTTTCATCCTCATGGCTTTATTATCACCTCACTACTTCTTAGAGATATGGTTGTAATGAGCTAGACTTGCCCAAAGTTACTCAGCTATAAATGGTAAAGCTAGAATTTGAACTTATATCTGTCTGGCTTCAAAGGCCACGTTCTTTCCACTTCATGTTATTGTCACCAAGTAAAGAGGATCTCACAGTCTCCAAGGTGGAAGCTCCCTCTCAGCTTGTCTGGATGGTGTTTTTCAAATCCATCCTTGGAGTGTGACCCATCAGTGGGTCATGAGGTCAGTCTGTGGGTGGCATTTTAAATAACAACATAAAGTAGAAGTGACTAGAACAGAGTAGAAAATAAGAGTACGTCATACAAGTAGAACATTTTTATCTCTATATCTTCTCTGTGCTTTGCTACCTTTATCCTTGTATGGAGATAAAAATAGCCCTCCCATAGGCTTGTTATGAGGATTGAATGGAATGATACACATAAAGTGCTTAGAAGAGAGGCTGGCTCATATTAAGTATTATATAAATATTAAGTATGTATGTATGTAAATGAGTCATGATGTAAAATGTATTTCTTATTGCAGACTGCAATCAAGATGTCTGAAAACACTGAACTCACATCTGTGGACGACGAGTTGGCAGATTTATGACCCCCAGCTTGTAGCCTATTTTTTTAAAATAAGGTTTTATTGGAACACAGCCACACTCATTGGTTTAGGTATTTTCTATGGTTACTTTCGGGGTATAGTGGCAGAGCTGGGTACTTGCAACAGAAACCCTGTGGTTCACGAAGCCTATCATATTTACTATCTGGCCCTCTAGACCAATGCTCCTGCCTGGAGGTCATCTCATAATCTAGGGAATATTGGACACCTCTTCCTGGGCATGTGGTCTGGTCATGCCACTGTCCTTGTAGGCATGCTTGCTCTGCAGACCACTCCAGGCTATGTGACTGCCGGGCCCTTGGATCTCCAGAAGGTCATTACTCTTCTCTATTAAACTGATGCCTACATGGTGAAAGGCTAAAAACATGGTACTTTGGTTAGGGTCCCAGCAGGAAACAGATGGCCACTCAAAATTAAAATAATTGGTGAGGGCAGAGTGTGGGAAAGTAGCAGAGACCTCAGAGGCTCATAAAAGTCAAGATTTTACCACCCTAGGCATAAGGAGATAACGAGAGGGGGCAAGGCCTATACTGGAAGGAGAGAGTCACTTAGAGAGAACATCTTATGAGGACCAGTGACCTTTAGTCCAGGGACACAGAACCAGCTACAGCTGACCCTGGGGTGGGGATCCAGGAGAATAAATACCTTGACCTAATTTTCCTCCATCTCTGATCTCCTATGGGGGGACCCCATTGACCAAAGTGAGATGGAAACCAGAGAGTATGGGATCCATTGATGTGGCTCATACAGAACAGCTTCCCAGGCCAGAGAAGGCTGAAAAGAGAAGGTTGGAGAAGGCTGGAAAGGGGATCTGGAATGGCAAATCTTAGATACCCAGCACATAGCATTGATTTAGGAAGCCAGATTTATTTACCTTTCCTAAGCTCCCCTAAACAAGGACTTTAGGGGAGATTGACATAGCTTTTCCCTTTTACTGCCTTTTCTTCTTAAATCTGTTAGCTTCCCGATAGCTATTGTGGGTTAATCTTCCTGGATCTTATCATCATGAGAGGGATGGAAGGTTATGAACAGAGACACAGATAAGCTACTGTGTGTGTGTGTGTGTGTGTGTGTGTGTGTGTGTGTGTCTGAGCCTGAGCAGAGTCTGATTAATATGTGGATTTTCATTAAAGTTCTTCCTCATGTCCCATCTTTTGATCTCAGAAAGGAGTTGTGTCCCATTCTTCTATGCAGTCCTGCTCATGTCCAGCAAATGTGTGAGTCGACCTCCAGCCCCTTGGGAGAAAGAGCCAGGGGAAAAAAGGCTACCTACGCTGAGAAGTGTCCCCAGAGTAATCTGTTCCTTTGCCAGACCCCCTGCTAGCCCAGACTTCCTTGACTGGCACTTGATATCTTATAGGCCCCCAAATCCTGCCACACAACTACAGCTTGTCCCCTGGAGGGGCTTTTCTGACCAGTCCAGAATGCTCAATTTAAGAAAGATCATAAGCTCACACAGGGGAAGGGGCTGGCTTGGGCCACCACCTTGCAGCAGAGCTGGGGCAGAATTCAGGATTGGAGACTCTTATTAGTTTCCATCTTTCTTTTACAAAGATGAACGTTGAAGTCTTGGAACCCTGGGAATGAACCTGGAAAAATTCAAAATATGGTTGTCTTAGGCAAGTTTCCTTGTCCGGCTCAGCTGCTGAGACCACACATCTGGACCCTCAGTGCCCCGGCAGCAGCTCTGTGCAGGCAGGATGAAGTACAGGCTTAGGTCAAGCAATCAGCAGTCAAAATCCACACTCCCACCCATGAGTGGCTGTTCAACCTTGAACATGTTACTTTTTATGTTAATGAAACCCGGTTTTCTAGTCCTATAAATTTGGGGCTATCATCAACCATTAAGTTATATTAAACCCAATGCCACACAGGCAAGTACCTAGCAGTGTCCAAAGGCCCAAAAAATGACACTTTTTCATCTTTTCTCTTCCCTCCAATTAAAAGACTAGTGGAATATCCGCAACTACTTTGACCAAAAGCCAGAAGCCAGCCAGTTTGAGCGTAGCTGTTACAGCTTTGTGTTCTAAACCTAAGAAATGGGGACCCCTCACACGAGAGTGGGGAGGCTTCTGGATGTGCTACAAATTCCATCTCATTTTCATGGACTCAAGTGTTAATTAATAAAATCTCAAGGTTCTCCTCCCTCTTTCCCCTCACATTTCTTCAGAGAAACGAAGAGTTCAAACTCACAGCTCAAGCACTCAGGTTTTAAATTAGACAACTTTGTCCTGACAGGAACCAAGTCACAGCTGTCATACCTGATTACTTTTAGAGTTACTACTAAACCCTTTGTATGGCATGAGCTGCCACTGTTCAAGGCAAACAGAAAGACTTCACATTTTATCATGACAGCCCTGGAGCTATCCACCTCCCTATGTTCATTATTCTCAGCCTGTCTTTGGAAGGGATGATGTGGCATCCTGACAATCGTATAGTGAAGAAAGCAGACCCCATGGCCTGTCACTACAGCCTAGGGATTTTTAAGCCCCCAAAGTGCAGCAAAACCCACTGCCTCCAGAAAGCCAAGGAAAATTATTTCTGGGGGACATAGCTGCCTCATAGCCTTCTATGAATGAACCATCATCTTTCATGAGAGGCAACCATTGACCCTCAAGTAACCAACCAATAAGAACACCCGTACACAAATGCCCACAGGTGTTGGCTGGGATTGGCTGGCTTGTGGATGATGTCACAGTTTCCCTCCTCTGACTCAACAATGCCATCACCACTGAAAAGGCTGAGCCCTGACTGCAGCTCTTGCAGACAGAAAAATTCACCGCAAGCAGAGCACCTTCTAGATTGCTCCTGGAGTGTGGGGACAACAGTCTCTCCTGTTCAAGTTACTGAATCCAGAAAAAAGATGAACTTATGAACATGGGAAAAGAAATCCAGCTAAAGCCTAAGGCAAATGTCTCTTCTTACATCCACTTTTTGCTGAATTACAGAAACAAATTCAAGGAGCAGCAGCCAAATACCTACGTTGGCTTTAAAGAGTTCTCTAGAAAGTGTTCGGAAAAATGGAGATCCATCTCAAAGCATGAAAAGGCCAAATATGAAGCCCTGGCCAAACTCGACAAAGCCCGATACCAGGAAGAAATGATGAATTACGTTGGCAAGAGGAAGAAACGGAGAAAGCGGGATCCCCAGGCACCCAGACGGCCTCCATCATCCTTCCTACTCTTCTGCCAAGACCACTATGCTCAGCTGAAGAGGGAGAACCCGAGCTGGTCGGTGGTGCAGGTGGCCAAGGCCACAGGGAAGATGTGGTCAGCAACGACAGACCTGGAGAAGCACCCTTATGAGCAGAGAGCGGCTCTCCTGAGAGCTAAGTACTTCGAGGAACTTGAACTCTACCGTAAACAACGGAAACAATGTAATGCCAGAAAGAAGTACCGAATGTCAGCTAGAAAGCGGTGCAGAGGGAAAAGAGTCAGGCAGAGCTGATGGATCCAGTTTGAAAAAATAAAATGCCATTCAATCATATTTCCTGTTCCTGGTCTCATGTGTGGCATTAGAGTAGCTGTGACTGACGCTTTGTGGAGGAGGGAGTGGCTTGGTAGAGAGAGATTGGGGCAGGGAAACTGATCCTGAGGAGAGGAAGGGAGAGGAGGGGAAGGGAGAGGAGGGGAAGGGAAAGAAGGGGAAGGGAGGAGAATGGAAGGGAGGGGGAAGGAGTGGGATGGAGGGAGAGAAGGGAGAAGAGGGGGAGGGAGAGGATGGGGAGAGAAGAGAGAGGAGGGGGAGGGAGAGGATGGGGAGAGAAGGGAGAGGAGGGGGAGGGAGAGGAGGGGGAGAGAGAAGGAGAGGAGGGGAAGGAGAGGAAGAGGGAGAGGAGGGGGAGGGAGAGGATGGGGAGAGAGAAGGAGAGGAGGGGAAGAAGAGGAAGAGGGAGAGGAGGGGGAGGGAAGAGAAAGGAGGGGAATGGAGGGGAGGGAAAGGGAGAGAAGGCTAGCTTGGAGAGAAGTGTCAGCAGTAAACAAAAGGTGTGACTTGGACCACTGGGTGGGAGTCTCCAGGTGTAAAGTAGCAGCAGTCACGGAGGTAGAAGCACCCTAGTTCTGAGTGGTGATCCAGGTTAGATCCAGTCTTTTAGAACTGCATGAGCCTTTAGGGGATGAAAGGTAATACAGTGATTTAGAAATTCAGGGTCTGGAAGCAAACAGGTCATTTGCGGAGGATTTTCATGTGCCAAGCCCTGTGCTGGGTATGGAGAGGCACATTACGCACTACTGTTAAGTTCCCGCCCTATAAAAACTTTCCTTCTGACAAGAGAGATGGACTTGGGCGTAAATTGCAGCACTGCAAAGCAAGATGATGAAAGTGAATATGGAAAGTAATAGGGGAGGGACTGGGGACCACCCACCAAGCCTATGCTGCAGTCTTCATGAAGGAAGCAGCCTTATTCCACTTGACAACTTTGTAGGCATGCTGGCAAAATTCCCGTTCCCCATTCCCCACAGCTGCTATTCCAACTTGGCTCTGCTTCCCTTCCAGCCCAACCTCCACCCTCTCAGGAGACACCCTCATTTTCTGCTTCATTGAGAAAATAGAGATCCTCAGATATAAGTGCTCTCAGCTTCCTTCATTCTGGAAATGTAATCCATACTCATCCTTTCCTCTTGGTCTCACCCCTCATGGAGAGCTAACCCCCTCCTGCTCTTGCTGCCTCCTCCTCGCCTCCCTGGGGCCCTTGCTCCTTACTGTAAGGGTGCTGGCCCTCCAGCCTGTACACTCATACAAGTTCACCTGATGCTATGATATGGTGGTCCCCATCTTAATGTGGGCAGGACTTAGGGCAAGTTCTCATTCCTCTGAGCCTCATGTTCTTATCTGTGCAAGGAGGATAATGCCTGCCTTACAGGCTGTTTTAGCAATTAACTGAGGTAATACATGTAAAAGTATTTGGCATAGTCCTAAACCTAATAGGTAATGTAGCTGATATACTCTAGGGTGGTTGTTCCATAATCCTTTCCCCCTTTCCTGGTGTTCACACCCTTGTATAATCCCCTCCTATTAAGTGTGGGCTGGACATGTGACTTTCTTCTAACCAATAGAATGTGGCAAAGGAGATGGAATGTCACTTCTGTGATTATGTAATGATAATATTACATATTGCTAGCCACTGTTCTAGGGATTCTCCTTGCTGCTTGATGAAATAAGTGGTCAAGTTTGAGAAGCCCATGTAGCAAGGAATGACAAGGAACTGTGGGAAACGTCTAGAAGCTGAGGGTGGCCTCAGACCATCAGCCAGTGAGAAACAGAAGTTCTCAGTCCACCAACCACAAGGAACTTAATACTGCAGCAGCCACACAAGTGGGGAGGTGAATCCTTCCCCAGTCAAGCCACCAGATGAGAACTTGGCCTTGGCTGACCAAGGTCTCAAGCAATGCACCCAGCTAAGCTGTTACTGAACTCCTGACCCCACAGAAACTGTACAAATGTAAGTTTAAAACTATAAATGTTTAAACCATATGAGTGTATTTTGTTTTAAGCCACTAAGTCTGTGGTAATTTGTTACACAGCAATAGAGAATACATTACTCAATAAATGCCCTCTTCCTTATAATTCTAGAAGAGATTGTCTTTAATCTTGTTTCTATCTCCAGCCTCTACCTTTCCCATTTAATTTCCTTTCCTTTGTTACCAATATCTTGAAGGTGGAGGGCCACCTCCTACCCTCCAGTGCTAATTAGATCCTGACTTGTATTACCCTGTAGTGGTTCCAGTTGGGTTGTCTTGTTTCCAACCTGAAATGTGGGCTCTTGGTGGGCAGCAGCTGTGTGATGTACCACACTCCTCTCTGGGAAGAGGGCCCCAACACAGCTAGGCTCCAGCCCTCATGCCACCCCTTTCTGATTTCCTGTGTGATTAATTATGTGAATGTGGGTGGTCAAGTCAGAGTTGACAACAGTTTGCAGTTCCCCTGCTGAAAACTAACTCCATTAACAGTCCTTTATGAAAAAGACAACAGGAGGGTCTGAATCTGCTGGTTTCTAATGACTGTAATGTAGTGACAGTGGAAAGAGAGGGAGGGAAGGAGGAGGAGAAGTTGGGGGAGCCTGGACCTAAGATAACGGGTAAGAGAAAAAGTAGGCAGACAATCTGGTGTGGTGCCAGCATTCCAGGCCCACTCAACTGGCCTCAGGTGCTCCTGTCCTTGAGAAGAGGAACGCAGGCCCATCACCATCTCGATGACTGAATCACTCAACTCTGATCCTTCTCTCCTCAACCCTTTTCCTGTGTTCATGTAGTCATTAATTTACTTACTCATTAATTCAACAGATGTTTATGTAAATCTTATGCCTGCAATATAACAGCAACTATTCTGGTGCTGGGAATACAACAAGGTCCCTCATGTCTCACATTCTGGTGAGGAGAGACAGAGAATTAAAAAAACAACAAATAGGCCAGGCGCAGTGGCTCACACCTATAATCCCAGCACTTTGGGAGGCTGAGGTGGGCGGATCATGAGGTCAGGAGTTCGAGACCAGCCTGATCAACATGGTGAAACCCCATGTCTACTAAAAATATAATAATTAGCCAGGTATGGTGGCATGTGCCTGTAATCTCAGCTACTCAGGAGGCTGAGGCAGGAGAATTGCTTGAACCCAGGGGGCAGAGGTTGCAGTGAGCCGAGATCGTATGATTGCACTCTGGCCTGGACGACAGAGTGAGACTTCATCTTAACAAACAAACAACACAAATAAATATATCAGATCAGTTTTTGATAGTGTCAAGTACTCACTAGAAAACAAATGTGGGTAATGAGATAAATGATGGTGTATAGGGTAGAGGGCACTTGAAATGGGTGGCTAGAAGTTTTCTGTGGAGCTGGCATTTGGTTTTGGATTTACAGGGCAAGAAGGAGCCATACAAGCCAAGGTGTGCGAGAAGAGTCCTCCAAGCAACAGGGAAGCAAGTGCAAAGGTCCTTGCAGAAGGGAGCTTGCCATATTAGAGGGACAGACGGAGGCCAGAGCGACTGGAGGTGTGAACAAATGGGCGAGACATGGTTGGAAGGGTGAAGGCCTTGGCAAGGGGTTTTTGTGGAAATCTAAGTGTAACTGAGAGCCACAGAGAGATTTCAGTAGTGGAGAGCCACATGCTTCCATCTTTGACTTTGTGTTGTTGATCATTCTAGAGTCTTCAGAGACTACCAAGTGCCAACAAAGGGATTAACCCCTTGCCCCTCTAAAGGACTGCAAGAAAGAAGACACTAAATCCATGGCATTTTTTTCCTTAGGAAAGAAGGGAGATAACGAGAAGCCTCCACTTGGTATTCCTTGGAGCAGCTGGAAGCTAAAAACCAAACGTGGGAACTGTGAATCCTCTCTCTGGGATATGTTTTCTTAGGAAGTGGAGGAAATGGGTGGGCATGAGTGGCAAAATATTCCAGGGTAATACTTCTTCCTGGGCCTTGTGGGGAACAATTCCCAACAGGCCAGTGGTTCTCAGCTTTAAGCCTGTGTTAGAATCATCTGCAGGGCTTATTAAAACACAGAGTGCCGGGCCTCACCCCCGAGTTTGATTTAGCATTTCTGGTAGTTGGATCTATAATTTGCATTTCTGAAAGTTCCCAGGTGATACTGATGCTCCTGGACCCAGGACCACAGACAAATTCTCCTTCTTGTAGCCCCTTATTCAGTCTGCGTAAGAGGCATGGCTCATCTGGTGGGTTTGGGAGGAGGAGCGGACCATGCTCAGTTAGCCCTCCCCATCTCCCTAGCTGCAGAGCATATTCAGACAGCTCTCCAATCAGTTCATCAGTAATAAAGGTGACATGCTGATCCTCATCTGTTTTTCTCTTGCAGCTGTCAATTGATTCTGCACTTGAAGGGGGAATAAGTATATTTATTTATTGGGTTTCCCTCAAATTCCAACAGAGAAGGTTGATATCAGTTGCAAAACAATCAACTGGCATCTGGGCCACATAGCAGCATAGGAATCTTGGTTTCAGCCTCCACTAAAACATCAATTATTTGGGGGCAAAAAATGTCCAGTTCCTGGGCCTTTAAGATAGGAAATCAGGTCTGTGGATGGGGTGAGGTCACCAGGATGAGGTCACAAAGGCATTGATGCCCCTTTGTCCTATCATGTGACCACCTGTCACACTTCCACCAAACAGTATCTGCCCCACAGGTGTGCTAGGGACTAAATGAAATGCCTGGGATATCATCATAAGTGGTGTCTGATGCTAAGGAGTGCCCTAGGAATGGGGGTACCTGCCCGGTCTCTAAAGGATGGGTTCAAAAGGCAAGAGCAACACACAAAAAGATAGTTTCAAGCAGGAGAAACAGCTTGGCAAAAGGCCCAAAGGGGATACGACCCTTCAGGCTGGCCTTGGTCTCTGGGTTGGATCACCAATGACACAATGAACATTTCGTTATGAGGCCATCCCTTAAAGTAATTGCGTTGCAACAGCCCTCCCTACCCAGTGCTCCATTTCTAATGCTTTCTCTGCTCTGGCTGCTGGGTGATATTTCTATTTCTCCTCTACAACGGTGAAATATTTCAGTGGTTGTCCATCACTTATGGGAGTCTGACATGGCATCATCAGGCCACTGGGGCCTTGCTAGTTGTGCTGTCCCTGATACTCACTGTGGAAGGCAGTTTCTGAAATGGCTCCCAGTGATCCCCAACTCCTGAAATTCATACTCTGTGTAATCCCCTCCCTTTGAGTGTGGGCTAGACCTGGTGGCCAAAGTGATAGGATTTCACTTCTGATGTTAGGCTGTGAAAGGCTGTGACTGTTGTCTCTGGCTCTTCTGTCTCACTTGAAGCAAACTAACATGCTGAAAGCTGCCCTGTGGAGAGGCTCATGTGGCAAGGAACGGAGGGTGGCTTCTGGCCAACACCCAGTAAGGAACTCAGGCCCTCAGTCAAACAGCCTGCAAGGAACTGAACCCTGCCGATAACCATGAGTAAGCCTGGAAGTGGACCACTCCTCTGCTGAATTTTGAGATGCCTGCAGCACCAGTGGACACCTTATCTGTAGCCTTGTCACAGACTCAGCTAAACTATACCTGATTCTTGACCCACAGAAACTAATAGGTGTTTCATGGCACTAAGGCTTCTGATAATTTGTTACAAACTGAAATGATGAGTACAGATTTTGGCATCAAGAGAAGGATAGTGTCGTGACATATACCTAAAAATGTGAGATAGCTTTGGAACCAGGCAGTGGGCAGAGGTGAGGAGTATTATGAGGAGCTTGTTAGAGAAATCTTCAATTGCCTCAAAGACAACTGAAGACACTATAGAAATCTGGACTTTGAGGATACAGCTGGTGGAGGCTTAAAAGAAGTGATGAACAGATTATTGGAAACTGGAATGTCTTTGTCCATTTTCTATTGTCTGTAACAGAATATCTGAAGCTGGGTAATTTGTAAAGAAAAGAAATTTATTTCTGACAGTTACCAGTTACAGAGGCTGAGGAGTCCAAGGTCAAAGGGCTGCATCTGGTGAGAGCCTTCTTATTGGTGAGGACTGCCTACAGAGAGGACTGCGCATGTTGATGTGCCTGCTCAGGTCTCTCTTCTTCCTTTTTTTTTGTTTTTGAGATGGAGTCTCACTCTGTTGCCCAGGCTAGAATATAGAAGCGTGATCTCAGCTCACTACAGCCTTTACGTCCTGGGTTCAAGTGATTCTCCTGCTCAGCCTCACAAGTAGCTGAGACTACAGGCATGTGCCACCACACCTGGCTAATTTTTGTATTTTTCATAGAGATGGGGTTTCACCATGTTGGCCAGGCTGGGCTCGAACTCCCAACCTCCAGTGATCCACCCACCTTGGCCTCCCAAATTGCTGGGATTACAGCACGAACCACCATGCCTGACCTCTTCCTGTTCTTATAAAGCCACCAGTTCCACTCCTGTGATAACCCATAAATCCATGAATGGATTAACCCATTCATGAAGACAGGGGTCTCACGATCCAATCACCTCTTTAAGTCCCCACCTTTCAACACTACCACACTGGGGATTCATTTTCCAGCACATGACATTTGGGGGACCCATGCAAACTGTATTATGAAGGAAAGACATCCTTGTTAGGTAGTGGTAGAAAGCTTAGTGCCACTATTGTCTGCAGTTACATGGAAAGCAAAATATGTACCTAATAAACCTAGTGATTTAGCTATGGAGATGTCCAGGCAAAGTGCTGAAAATAATTTCTTCTTACTGCTTATGTGAGAAGAGAGAGGAAAAAAAGTTAAAGTGAGCCAGGACCTGATAGTTTTGAAAATTCTCAGTATCCCAAGTCAGCAAAACGTACTAAAATTAAGAAATGGCTTTTGAGCAGCACTGTCAAGAAAAGGTGTGGCTGTGGAGCCTTTGGTTAAGACCTCAGAAAGATCAAAAGATCATGGTATTATTCAGTCATACAAAGGCCCTTTAAAGAGATTAGGGTAGGCCTCACAGATCCTCCAGATCAAATAATAGGGACTCTAGGAAGCGAAACGGCTGTCCCTTGGCCATCTTTTCAAGAGGCTCAGGTTGAAAAGTGGTTAGTCCTCAAAGAAATTTGTGGGTTTGGCTTTGTGTAATAGAGGGAATCTCAGTGCAATTTATAGAAGAACCAAAAAGTTTTTGAGAAAACCTGTAAGAAGAAACATAGCTGGGACAGAAACGAACAGAGACATAACAAAATAAAATGAGACCATTGGACCCCTAAAATTCGCAGCAGGAAACAGACTGAGAAAACAAGTCAGCTTTAAACACAGGTTTCCGTTCATGAAAAAGGAAGGATTATTCAGAAGGAAGAACTAAGAGCTTAGAAGGTGGAGCTAAGAGTCATGGAGAATTATCCCCAGGCTTTGAAACCTAACCAAGAAACTTCCAGTCTTTTCCTGGCTGGATTTCAAAATTGTTACGGACCAGTGACGCCTTCGTACCTCACATTTTCTTCCCTTTGAGTAGCAGTGTTTATAGCCATTGCTCTATGCCTAATCTGCCATTGTATGTTGGGCATATAGGGGGCAGATAATTTATCTCGTTAGCTTTTCAAATCACCAAATCTCTAATAACAGTATTCTAGAACTTGTACTTAAGGAATTATACCCAAGAGCCTCATCCACACCTGCACCTGATTTAGATGATGAGATCCTGGACTTTCAGTTGGTGCTCTCATGGGAGGAGATGTTTAGAGACCTTGAGAAGGAATGATTATGTTTTATGTGTGGAAGGGACATGTACTTTGCACGTGGAAGGGACAGAAATCATTGGAGAGCCAGAGGGTAGACTGTGATAGGCAGCTTCAGAAATGACTCTAAGTGTTCTTTCTCTTCTGGTATTCATGTCCTTGGTGCAATCCCCTCCCTTTGTGTGTGGGCTGGACCTAGTGATTTGCCTCTAAAGAATAGAATACAGAAAAAGTGATGGAATGTCACTTCTCATATCAGGTTATAAAAGATTGTCACTTCTGTCTTATCCTCTCTCTCTGGCTCTACTCTCTGATGAAGCAGCTGTGTTGAAAGCTTCCCTTTGGAGAGGAACTGAGGGCCGTCTCTGGCCAATAGCATGGAGGAATCCAGCAAACAATTATGTGAAGAAACTTGGAAGCATGTCCTCCCCTCCAGTTGAGCTTTGAGATGACTGCCACCCTAGTGGACACCTTGATTGAAGCCTTATGAGAAACCCTAAGCCAGAGAACCCAATTAAGCTACACTTACATTCCTAACACACAGAAAATATGAGCTAATAAATGTTGTTTCAAGCCACTAAGCTTTGGAGTAATATGTGACACAGCAATAGACACCTAATGCACCTGCCCTAAGGTCCTGCTACACTGCATTTTCCCCAGAAACACTACACTCTCTCCCTCTCCCCAGGGCCTTTGCACATACTTCTCATGGCTGGGATCATCTCTCCTACCTTTCAGGTCTGGTAGACTTCAACCTGTTCTACAGGACTTACGTCAGGTATCCCTTCCTCTAGGAAGCTGTCTTTGATGCTCCAACTCCCTTTTGTGTTCCCATAATAGCTTATGTAAGTCCATACAATGCTATCCCAATGCGCAACACATTATAGCAACTGTCCCCCCAACTGGTAGAGAACGGAAGGGATCGTGCCTTATTTATCCCAGTGCTCTAAAATTTAACACAATGTTTCACATGGAGTAGAATGATAATAGCACACTTTTATTGAGTGCCTACACCATACCTGGTAAGAAATAATTCAATGCAGGATTTGGGCTTGTGTTAGATGATTTGGGTACTGTTTGAAGTCATTTAATGCAATTACTTTACTCAAGAAAAACATTCAGTGAGAGCAGTACTTTAAACACCCCATTTTACAGACAACTTGAAGAGCAGGTTAGGTGCTCAGTTCATGCTTGATCGAAAATGAACAACTGAATCATGAGAAGCATGTTGTTTCTTCTGTCCTGTGTCTCCCTTCTATCAGGAACTCTATGCAAATACCAGAGTTGGGCCAGAAGGCCTCCTGGGCATCTGGATATCCACTTTGTGCTTGACTGGTTATGCTACGTAGTTTGCTATTTCCAGATAAATACCTGGAGGTATCCCTGGGTGTCTCAAAGGGAGGGCTTGGTTAGCACCCAGAGAGTTTGATGGGCACCAGAAACCACATCTCCAGCTCTTTGCCCACAGCTGTGCCTCTGGCTCCCAGACAGAATCAGCATTTTCCTCTCCCCACACCCTGTCATTATAAACCATGTAAATTCCTCGATACCCAAGTTACAATGAACAGATGCGGCTCTGTATTTTTAATGTATTATCTGCAATTAGCAGCAGTGGGCATGGAAGAACTCTGTGGTCCCTGGGGCTGTCCCTCAC